AGTACTAGCCCCATAACTTTCCTCTACCCAATGCATAGGGTGAAGATAAACCTGACCACATTACTAGTTCCATAGACAGCCCATAATAATTGGCTCTTGGAAAGGCATGTGACCCAAGCCAAGCCAACAGATGCAATGTTCTAATTTAACTGGAACTATGAGAAGAGAACATCTCAGGGCCGAGGGTGTAGTTTAAAGTGGCAGAGCATTTGCTAAGGATGTACAAGGCTCTGGATTTGAGCTCCAACATTGCAAAAAGAAAAAAAAGAATAGAGTTCTCTTTCATCTGAGCTTAAACTCAGGAAAATATAAATGTGGAATTACTAGAGACCCCAGGAAAGAAGGTAGCTGAGACCAGCAAAATTCAGGCAGAGCTGTTCTGATGACATTGTCTGAGCTTCTGCACCATCATTCTCTGAAGCCCTAGAACAGTGGTGAAACCTGTGGTACATGTGCCACAGCCAGCGGTTTGTTATTGAAAGCTCTAAAAGCCTCACCATCACTGCCCTAGAACTTTCAGCTACACAAGGAGCAAATTTGTGGTGTTTAAATGACTCTGACTTAAGGTTTTGGCAGGTTTGGTCACATGTAAACTAGACAGTCCTGACTTTCTGCATTTTACTCCATATAAATTTTAACAATAACATAATTTTATGTTAACATTTTTTCCCAAGTTTCATATAGCTCAACATATCTTCCCAAGAACAGTTCTCACTACCATTTCCCCAAAACCACTTCTGGGTAACTCGTTTTTGGCCCATAAATGTGGACCAAGTGCTAAAAGCAGCAGGTTCACACCACCTCCTACACAGTATCTGTGATTTGACACCGTCTTACATATTCAGTGATGCTAATGGTGCACATCATTCTAACAAAGCGAGGTGGTTTTTAATGTCTAAAGATATATAAATTACAATTCACAGCATTTGTAGGCACTGATGTTTTGTTTCTGTTTGCAAGACTTATTATGAAAGGTGGGGATTTTCCAAGAAACATTAAGGTCTGTTTTGCATATAAATCACTGTTTAATTCTGCAAATCAAAGGACTCTTAGAGGGAATGCACATGAAACTAACCACAGTCAGCCTCTTCCCTTCAAGCTTGCTGACCCATGGCCACATTGCATCCTTGTTTCTCTTCGGTAGAGTGCTGTTTGTGCTCTGCCTTCCTCACCATCAGTTTGACTTATTTTCAGCTCATTCAAGCCTAGGCAAAGCTAATGGAACCTGCATGTTGTCCAAGCCGCATCTCCATACCTGGAGATGTGACAGGTAAGTGTGGACTGAGATGACAAAGAAAGTATGTGAATGAGCACAGCACAGTGGTGCCTTGTCTGCTTCCACAGCCCAGCTCAGGGGGTAGCAACTGTGGAGAGAGTTGAGACCCAACTTCCTCAATAGGGGTGTTCAGCGACAGCCCACATTATTCTCAGCGCATGGTAACTAACCTCCATTATAGCTGCTTAGTGCCTTTAAGCTCTCTTCCATATTATAGCTGTTTATATTTTCACTGTTTAAAGAGTAGAAAAAATGAGTTGCAGTTTTGATATGCACATCCTTTTGAGCTAAATTCAAATCCAGGCCATGTAAGTTTCAATCTGAGCCTTGATATTTCTCATCTTTTGAATACGATCAATAATATCTACCTCTGGAACTGTAGTGAAGACTCTAGTGAAGATAATCCCTTGAGTCCACTGGCCAGGGCGCTGGGCCCTAGGAAGTACTCTACAGGTGTTTGCAGTGTGCTCCTCACAAGCTCTTCAAGGGCGATGCCCACATGTGTCTCCTCTTTGTGTGTCTCCAGCCATTAGGAAAACAGAACATCTTAAATATTTCTGGGATGAGCACATAGATAAAGGCAAATCTGGATTCACTAGTGCAATAATTTGATTAGTGTTTATCTCTGCCAATGGACTGGACTATAATGATCTCATTGTTCTTTCAGGACCAACACAGCCCTGGCATATAGTATGTATTAAGTAAATATTTGCTGAATGAATGAATGAGTGACCAAATGACATTATCATCATTATTAGGAACAACAGTAAGAAACAGCACTAAACAGGCATAAGTGGTATGCAAGTATGCACAAGTGTGTGATCATTTATATTTCACAATAAAAAAGACCATTGTGTCAATATTCTAATGCAATTCCATTCTGTTGCATTAGTATCCTTAGCAAGACAAGGAAAGAGGTGAGACCTAACCAAAGGATACAGTGATAAGAGGAAACTTTAGGAAAAGCTGGAGAAGAGATGAAAGAGGAGCATGAAAGCCTGGCTTAGAGTTTCTTGCATAAAAGTCATCCAAAGACAAAAGCAATTTAGCTCCAAAAACCCACATTTTAAGATGCTAACAAAAGTAGGTGTTATTTTATAGCCACCACTAAATGCTTGTTCCAGGTTTCCAGTACCAAATTAATGTTTCCTGTGTGGTGACCCTGTTACTCAGGTGCATTTTCTCCAGTACCTTGCCACAAACAGGTACTTGGACCAGACTGGCCACTGTTTATGTCCACAGACTGCCTAGATTTTTCTCCTACCATCTACCAGACAAGCCTGGGTCCAGAACTCAGGGAATTCTGCTACCACCCCAGCCTGGCTTCTTATGTCCTGCCCCAGGAAGTTTCCTTCCTCTGAGTCCTGAGTTATGCATGGTTTCCCCACGTACCTGTGCAATTCCTAGCTCTCAGGTTGCTCAGCTTACCTGTTGAAAGTAATATTTATTGTGTTTCTTTTCAGATTATGAAATGTACAGAATTAAAGAAAAATAAGCATGAATGTAGAGAAGAAAATTAAAATCTATATCGCGTTCCCCAGAAATAATGACTATGTAAATATATGTGCATATGCCTCCTTGTCTCCTCCACGTAACTGAAATTTAGCTCTTCATGTGTTTGTGATATTTCTGACTTGGTTTTCTTCTTAGAAATAACGAAAAGTACATTGTGAGCATACTTACTCCAATATAAATATTCTCTGAGATTTGATTTGTAGAACTTGACAAATAGTCTACGATTTGATGTACCTTAATTAATTTAATACATCTCATACTGTTGGACACAGGATAGTTTCTCCTATTTTTCACTATTATAAAGCAGAATGTCTTTGTAAGAAATTCATAGAATGAAATTACCTGGTCAAAAGCTATGTATTTTTAAAGAATTTTTGACACATGTTAACAAATTGTCTTGCCAAAATGGTGGATACATTTCCTAGTACACCCGCCTCAATACTGAGTGCTAATACATTTTGAAATGCTTTTTATGATTAGAAAAATCCATTTTCTGATAGGATTGCCTTTATATAATAGACTCCAAGAGTTTCTTATATAATAAAATCATTAATCCTTTGTTGTCTATGTGTGTTTCAACATTTTCCTATTTTTTTTACTTTTAGTTACATACACAGAATTTATTGATTCCCAGAATATTTATTAGTCCCTTGTTTAACTCCAATAAACCACTTAGACATATTACTTAAACTGTGGTTATTAATCTTTACCATTTTTTACTTTTAATTTAAAAAACATTGGCTTTGGGTTGGTGTTTCTGGTTTTTGTGTTTTGATTTGGTTGGTTTTGTTCATCTAGCATGTAAAAAAGGGAAATTGTTTATATACTTTTCCAAATGGTCCATCAGCTGTTTGAAAATTATTTTTTGAAAAATCCATTTTGATAATTGATTTGCAATGTTGTACATATCATATACATCTTTATTCTTGGGTCGGTTTCATTTAATGTTACTTGATAAATCTTATTTAATTTCTTATAGAGCAAGGCAGCCTCTGGCCTATTATAGTTCTAATCCCTTACTTCTTTCCTTTTCGTTTTTCTTTCTGCTTTCTTTTTACAAAATGTACTTTCCTTGGCTATATAATTTTTAAAATTTTATTTTTCCAAAAGAAATTTATTATCCTTGTTCTATATTTCATGTTTAAATTTTCATTGGAGTTTTGATATTATCTTAAATTTAAAGCTATATAAACTATTAGTCTTCAAAATCTTGAAATTGTTCACCTAGTAAATACCTTATGAAGTGAATTCTTTAATTTTATTTTAAAGACAATAGTAACAAAAAAGAACAATAGCAAAATGCAAACAAAACAAAGCAAGGACATTAAAAATGATATGGAGTTTCAAACCAAATGATAGGGATTAACAGTGGTTGTTATATTACATATTGTTATCTTCAATGAAGTTGCTCAGATTACCAGATGTGAGAATGGAAGATTGATCAAACCATTAAAGGGAATAAGAAAATAGTAATTTAAAAGAACAATAGAGACAATACATAGTTTCACTAGACAGGACGGTAGGAATTCACCAAAGTTTGTTATACTGCATATTGTTGTCTTCACATAAATTGCTCAGATTACCAGATATAAGCATGCAAAATTGATAGAAAAATATAATCTTATAAAACATATGTATGACCTATATAAATTAAAATTTTTAAAACTTCCTAAAAGACAGGAATTTTTTAAAATTTTAATTTATGTAGGTTGTACATACATTTTATAAGATTATATTTTCTATTTTTAGTGAACATGGTTCACAAAATCTTTAATTTGATAACATTACTAATTTTTTCTAGTTTTTACTAACATAGTAAAGTGGCTTTCATGTATTTATTTTATAACCAATCAACTTTTTGTACTCATATTGGAATGTTTTTTAGGCATTTGATCTCTTTTGCATTTTTTAGAAATGCCATCACCATTTACAAATAATAGCTTTAAATGCCCTTTATGATATGTTGAATTTCTAACTTTTCTTTTCGTATTACAATTAGTACAATTTCTAGGACCACTTTTGTTTTTACGTTAGATTTACTTTGAACAGAAGTTTTGGATTCTTAGCAAAATCGAGTGGAAATGAGAAAATTCCCATATACTTCCACTCCTCACAGACACGCGCATATGCATTCACCATCAGCGTCCTGCATCAGTGCAGCACATTTGATATAATCAATGAATGAACACTAGCTTAGTCATATCCAGCAAAGTTCATAGCTTATATTAGGGTCCCTGTCAGGAGTGGCTGAGCTGGAGATCATTCACACAGGGCGTGAGAGGTGAGCTAGTTGTTAGGCAAAGGGGTTTAACCTGACGTTAACCTGCCCAGTGTATGAATAAATGCGCTGCACTTGTTCAGCAGTTCTTTTCTCCACCAAGAGAGCTTCAGCTGATCCCAGCCTTCTGCATCTTGTCTTCATTTCTTCACCTTCTCACTCCCCTTCAGGGTTCTTGCTCCAGGAAGTCTGAGAGCCCTGTTGGCCAAGGAAGGTCACGAATTATGACAACTTTATAATTACCATGTAGCTATCATTGTAATGTAGTATTAAAGAGTTTCCCTGTTCAAAAATTTCTTTGTGCCAATCATTCATTGTGCTTCTTCCCCTGAGCCCTAGATACCACTGATCTCTTTATTGTCTCCACAGATTTGTTTTTCCAAAATGTCATTTAGTTGGAATTGTCCAACATGTAGCCTTTCCAGATTGGTGTCTTCTCCTCCTATTTGGTATTCCGTAAATGGTATGGTCTCCAAGGGCACAAACCTGGATGTTGCTATTCTACATTTTCAAAAAGGAGTTGAGTTGTCACATTTTGTGTTACAGAGCTTCCCATTTTTCTTGGAGATTAGGGACTATTACCCTGGGTTTTCCATTTCTTTCTATTGAGGGGATGTATCAGTGTGGTCACTGGTTCCTAACTGTGTATCATATGTCCTAGTCTGCCCAGGAGAGCCCCAGTGTGTATCTGTTATAAATACCTGCTCACTGATTATTTTAGTGGTCCCTTTCAACCTCCAAAAGTCTCCCAGTTTAGAAGCTAAATTATGTAATTTCCATATAAATGATCTATCTGGAGCTGCTTGCATGGTGGCTATGTAAAAGAAAGAGGTGACTTCCTCTGAAGAGGACATAGGTCTGAACCATAAAATACTACACCTTTCAACCAAAGGGTGACAGGCTATTGAGGCTGCATATGTGAGACTCTATGTCATACTATGATCCTGTGAAAGCCTTCTTTTCCTCCCATTTGTTTAGAACCCACTGCCCAGAATCTTAGGAAACTGCATCAGAGTCTGGACTTGGAAAGCAGCTTTTCTAACACATGAGACTTCATAATCAGAGGTCATCCCTCTGCTCAGTCCCACTCATCTTTTGCTCATTACGAATCCCTTTAGCTCTAGGAGGCCACAGCTGACACACATCTTCAGGTGATAAAAAAAGGCTGATGCAAACATAATAAGTTGTCGCCCTGCTCAACCCTGAGCAGTGGGAGGCAACAGTAATAATTAGGTTCAGAATAAATGCAAAAACAGAAGGGTAATGAAGCAGTCCACATTCCATTTGGTTACCAAGCAGTCATTCTTCCCCAGGTCAACAAATCAGAAGTGGGAATCATTTTGCTCACTAAATAATGAGCAGGCATATTTGGCAAGAGAGTGGTTCTGTTATTCCCCAGACTTCCTTCAATCTTCAGATCCTGGTAGAGGCAGGCTAGAGCCTTAACACGAACCCCACCTCTTCCCAATATCTGGAGGAAAAGTAGCAATGGAAAAGAGGTTCAGCCTTTGTGCAATGCTGAGTACTGGGCAAAGAAGCTGAGGCATGGGGTTGTCTTGCTCCCGTCTCTCTTACCTTTACATTCATCACTGGGAACAGTAGAGATGTGAATCCAGTATGCATGGAAGCATCACAGTAGAATGAACATGGTATGGTCAGGTCATGGAACCGAAATAAGGACAATGGTGGGCACTACATAAGTGAGCAATGGGATCCATGGAGCTGGAAGTCTGAAGAAAGAACTTGTGTCCTCAGGACACCTCTGTGTTACCCACATGGAGCCAGGGATAAGCTGACTCTGAAACTAAAAGTGCAGTGAGGTTTAGGAGGCAAATCAAGAGACTTTGTTACCACAGCAATCAGGGTATTTCAGTTACTATTGCTGCGTGACAACTGTCTCCCAAATGTAGCACCTTGAAATAAACATTTTATTTTGCTTGTGAATTTTGGACTGGGAATTTGCAAAGGAAATGGCAAAGCTCAGTAGTCCTCCACTGGAGGTCTTTTGTGTAGTTACAGTCAGATATCTGCTGGGTCACAGTTATTTGGAGGCTCCCTGGGATGAGACATCTAAGATGCTCACTCACATGACTGCCAGTAATGGCTGGTGTAGCTGGGAACTAAGTTGCACGTGAGAGTAGATTTCTTGAACAGGGGCGATCCGCGTGATGATCTCAAGGTAGCTGAACTTCTTAAATGATAGCTGGTTTCTCCCAGAATGAATGTCCCAAAGAACCAGACAAAGGATGCCTAGCCTGATTTTAGCCAGTCTTAAAAGTCACACACTAGTACTGCTGTCCTCTGCTAACTGAAGCAGGCACAAGACCATCCAGCTTCAAAATGGAAACACACACATCAAGCCTTTCAATGGGAGGAGTGTGAACAAATAGGTCATGCTTTAAAACCACTACATAAGAAAAAAAGAATGGTGGTTCATTATGCATGGCTGCTTGGAGATAAACAGAAGGAAATATAGGATATGTAGGCTCACTGTTAACCTCAGCAAGAGTACATAGTCTTTGTCAGGTAACCAGAGCTGACTTAGCCTAGAGCACTGCTCAAGAAATATGGTTGAAATGAGAATAAACATAGGACGCTGGCTGGAAAAGGATTGAGAGGTGATTTCCTTCATTTGTTCCTCCTTCTCTCCTTTCTTTCTTCTTTTCTCTTTGTGGGGTTATTAGTCACTCTCCTGCTGTTGGTACAAAACATTAGACACTCATAATTTAAAGAAGGTGAGGTTTATTTTGACTCATGTGTCAGAGGATTCTGTCCATGATTAATTGGCTCTGAAGCAGAAATGGTATGGGGGGGACAGCTGTTTATCTCATGGCAGCTAAGAAGCAGAGAGAGAGAAAGAGAGAGAGAGAGAGAGAGAGAGAGAGAGAGAGAGATAAAAGAAAACAGTTCACCCTTCCAGGTAACACCTTGGTGACCACACTCTAACCAGGTCCACCTCCTAGCAGCAATCAGGTATGAACTGAACATCATGCCCCTATGATTCAATCTCTATCCAAACACACGAGACTCTTAGAGGACAGTTTAGATCTAAACCATAACATGGGATACATTTAAGTGTGCTTGGTGTTGGAAGGAAAATCCCAGGTGAAATAAAGGAATTAAGTACCCACGAAAGAAAAAGATAACTGACAGCCTTAGGTTCCTGAGAAAGTGGGATAATGAAACAGAGTCAAAAGTATCAGTCTTACAAAGAGGGAGGGCAGTCTTCCAAAGGCCTTTCTAGATTCGTCACATTCGTCTTTGTGCATCCTCTGCCTCCCCTGCTCTGAAATTCTCTAGCACCTGTGATTGATCTCCTTTAATATATCAAATACATCAGTGTTAAATTGGCTCTGGTTTTTCATGTGTTTATTTTATAACTTCTGTGGTCCATAAGTACTTGCTTCCTGCTGGAGTTCTCACAGCAAACGGTACAGAAAAACTTGAGTTCAGTAAAGTCTCGATCAATATGCTACTAATTAGTGTACTTGGGCCACAAACTCAAAATCATCAAAGACAGAGGTAGATGATCGTTGAGGGGTCTCTCAGTGTCCGAAACAGAACCAAAGCAATATAGGTACTCAACACCTATTTAAGAACAAAACCAAGACACAAAGATGCTCTGATCTAATGCTTATTGAAGGAATTAACCAATAAAGACCATATCACCCTCACAAGTTCTCACATATCAAGGACTTTCCAGATATATCTACTAACTCTTGAGATAACCCTATTCCTGGCCAGAAGTGAAATTCCTCCAGAGATAAGGATTGGATCTAGGTTTTGTTTAGTATTACCTAAGGATCTACTACTACACACCAGATACTTTGGCATGGGGTAAAAATATTTCTCAGACTTGAAGGTTTCCCAAGACAAAAGATATTGGCTGCTATATGATGCATCTAAATGCCAAATTTCCAGGTGCCTTACAGGAGGCTGCTTTATTTAGATAGCAAATAAAACTTTTGCTTGAGCTTTTGAAAATAATGCCATCTATATTTCCTTCCTCTTAACTATTTTCTGTTCTTATATAATGTGTGTTCTGCAAGGCTGAAGCCACGCCAGGAAGTAGTGAGGAACAGGCAGAACATGCTCAGAACCAAGAGGCTAAAGCTCCATGTTAGTTGACTCTGGGCTTGCTGGATGCTTTGAATCAACAAGTCTGCAGGAAAACAAAGAGCACAAGTGAGTTCACTGTAGTGATAAAGAACTGTAGATTAGATGGAGGCCTAAGCCCAAGACTTTTTTTTTTTGTTGGTTTGTTGCTGTTGTTGTTGTTTTGAGACAGGGTTTCACTATGTAGCACAGGCTGGACTTGAACTCACGGCAATCCTCCTGCCTCAGCCTTACAAGTACTGAGATTACAGGCACGGGCTACCATGCCCAACTCAAGGACAGTTTTGATTATTTGGAGAATGGGCTGAATTGGTTCATACTTCCAAGAAAGGAAATTGAAGTCAAGGACATCTGCTTTCAATTGAGAACCTTTCATTCAGGGCTCCTTTTCTGACTCTTTTCTTTGACATGTCACTTTCCTCTTGGAACAAATATTAGCAGCTGAATGGGAGACAGACATTTTCTGAAAGTTCATTGACCAGTTTAGGAAGATATTAGATATCTGGAGGGCTTCTTCCCTGACTAGATGTGATTTCTCTATACAAGGTAAAGGGGAGACAGAATAAGCTCGAATGCTAGCCACCTCTGTCCATATTTCTCTCCCTCTGTACCTCCCTTGCCAACTTTACATAAAATATACAATGCTACAACTATGAGAATAAGGGTACCCCTTTTAACTAGAGGCAATTTACCTATACTCCTAACTTCTGTAGATAGATTATATTTAATTTTACATTTGAATTCATTTTAATAATCATTTTTTCTGAGTCTTGAAATACACAATCCACCCGTTTTTTAATTCAACATAAAGTTCTCTTGATACTTTTACAAATCTTTCAATACAAATGAGAGACTACAATTAACATAAGTGGCTGGAGAATACATAGCTTACTCTTTTACATAGCACAAACTGGAATATTAATCACTTCAGCTGAAATAAGAGAGAATAAATGGCAGCCTTTGATACTGACGTGCATTTTGAAACAAAATTATTTTCTTTCTTCTGCTTATTTGTGAAGCATTAGAAAATGTGGACTAAGCTTATCCTATCAGAAGAAAGAGGAGGATGAACATTCTCTAATCTGGGGCCTTTTGAATAATATCATAATATCTGTTTCTAGAAGCACTGACATTTTAAGGGTTACCTCTTATAAACTGCCAGTGAAAGGCGGAGCCCCCTAATATCCATCTACATAATGGACATCAGGGGGGAAGGAACTGAATGAAATTTTTGCTTAAAAAATATTCAGACAAAAGTATTACCAAGGCTAACGACTATCTTTCTGTGCTGCCTCTTCCTTAGAGGCAGATGGCATGGTACTCTGGCTTTCAACGGTCTTTCCAGTTACTTATTTCCTGAAAGGTTCTATTGTGTTTCTGCATGTCCAGTACAAAATATGATGTCAAGGTAAGCCATGTTCTCTCATTTTTCCATTGCCAATCATATCAAGTAGAATCAGTGTCACTTGTAAGTCTTTTACTTCCTTTTTTTCCACCCCATCTCAACTTCTACCATCCCACTCAAGCTCTCAGTACCTCACCTATCACACTACTGTGGCATCTTATTGCCAGGTCCACCATTTTGGACAAGAGAACTTGGCTGAAAAGAAACAGCTAGATGTGAATCTGAGGCTCTTCCACTTTTTAGTCCTATGAATGTAGTCTAGTGAGCCCACTTCTCAGAGTTCCTGTCTCCATACCTTCAACATTAGAGTGACAATGCTGACTTTATGGAACTGCTGTAAGAATTAAGCATAATAATATCTGTGAAATTCAAGTTAAATCAATTATGTAACTGAGATTAGAGCTTGATCCTCCAAATATGTGGTAACTGAAAAAAAATAATAGTAATAGACCCCAGGGCCCTACAAGGCACTCTTTTTCTATGTTCAACTTATCAATAGCTCCTGGTTTAGTGCAAATCACAATTCAGCTTTTGTAGCCAATTTATGTAGCTACTCCTTCACATTTATTAACAAGCAACACCCCTTTAAGAATATTTCTTAATTTCCTACTTTCTTTTCATGTCTGCTATGTCCATCTAATTCCTCTGCTACCTTTCTTTCCAGTCCATTGCTCCGCATTTAAATAGTTATTAGAGATGAAGGAAATATGAGTGCTTAGGATGTCCTTTAAAATAATAAGATCTCACACCTACAAGACATTCAGCCAGTCTGCACAGTTCAGATGCATCTCCTCTTAGCACATTTCTATTGCATCATAAAACTGAAATTCTCTGTAATATTTTCTCATTGTTGCAACAAATGGAAATAAACATACTGGCTTAAAAGAACACACACTTCCCCCTATGATGGATGTGATTATTATGTAGATCAAAAGTGTACCAATAAAATTTAAAAGTATTAAGTCCTCAGAGAGAGAAAATCTTTGCTGAACCAGATTCTTGGTGTAGACATTGGGCAAGTGGGCACCTTTTGATATATTCTGAAAGAGAGCCAACTGTGTTTGCTAATGGATGGTGTGTGGAGTAAGTGAGAACACAAAATTGACTCCTACATTTTTTGAAGAACTGAAGTAAACAATTGTCATTAAGTGAGAAAGACTGGGAGGTGTTATGGACTAATTTGTGCCCAAAATATGACTGATGGTTGTTAGGGTACCCAGAGTCTAGTGTGACTGGTGAACTTGTAAGGAAAGGGGATTGAACACACAGAGAAACAGAAAGGATTCATGTGCTATTATGGCTTGGGTCTAGAGGTCACCCCAAAGCATCATGCAGTCACTGATATTTCAGAAGACAACAGAAAAGATGACCTGAATACATCATGAGAACCAACAGGACTCTAGCCTTTGCAGTCTCAGAGCTGAAAAGGTGAAAGGCTTTGCTTTGAGAAGAGAAACCCAGAACACCATGTTCCAGAATGGTAGTGGCCTAGGGAAGTTGTTCCTTGGGTTTGGTTCATAGGTACTCAACCCCTACAGCCAAGAGAAAAGGAAGGCTGGCTACTACCCCAGATGGCTGCAGACCTTGCCGCCATCAACATGGTGCAAGTTTTAGGTACATGCAAAATGCCAGAGTTGTGCAGTCAGGAAGGATTCTTCCCAGATTTCAGAAGAAAGCCTGGGAGGCCAGGTAGTGTGTGCCCAAGAGGGCAGTGTGTGAAGCTGTGAGTATAAGGCTGAAGGTACACTGGAAAGCCCAGAAGGTTGAAGAAGACAAGAATGTGAATCATCTGAGGAGTATTACAAGGAGGGAGCAGAGCTGGCCTAAGAGAGAAGCCATGAGAGCTACACCCACCAGAAGTGCTATAGGGGCAGAGCCACCTGAGCCCTTTAGAGTTCATATCTTGCCACAGATTGCCTCAGAGGCTGGACATGGAACTACAAAATTTAATTTTTGTCCTGCTGAATTTTGGTCTTGTGTTGGTTCTATTCTTTTATATCCCTTTTATCTGTATCTTTTGGAATAGAAATGCCTATCTTTGTGCTATTGAATGTTAGAAGTGCTTAACTTCCTTTTCATTTGTACAGGGGCTCACAGCTAAGAGTCTGCCTTAAGTTTCAGGGGAGACTTTGGACTTGGACTGTTCACCAGTTCTGAAACTATTAGAAATTTGGCGACTCTTAAAGATAGACTAAATGCCTTTTGCATGAGAGGATTTGCAGGTTTATTTGAAGGGCCAGGGGCAGAATGTTATGGTTTGTGTCTAGATGTCCCCTCAAAGCCTCATGTAGTTTTAGGTTGGGATTTTCTGGGAGTGGCTAGATCGAGAGTATGTAATACTGATAGGTGTGTGATTATTAAATAAGTCCACCGATAGGTTTGGCACCACCCCAATTCTGATAACCTAGATGCAACATTAAAAGGGCAGAAAGACAATGTTAAGGTCCCTTGCTTGCTTACTTTGCTACCTGTTGTCTGCCATGAGCTATTTCTCCTCTGTGATGCCTGTTTTCCATGCCACCTTGCCTTGGAGCTGACTAGTTATGCACTGACACCTTTACAAACTGTGAGATAAATAAACCTTTTCTCCTTTAACTTTGAATGTTGGATATTTTGTCTCAGCAATGAGAAAAGTAACTAACATATGTGCTATTACCAGAACAGTAACTAAAACAATATTATGGCTCTCAGACCATTTTTCCTTAGGGACATCTGCTTCTGAATCTCTTCTTTTGCTTCTCTTTTTCCACTTTTTAGGTACTTTGTGACAGCATTGCAAACACCTGGCTAATCTGCTTATTTTTAAGTCAGCTAATTAGCACTTCAGCTTCTCTTTTCCATGTAAACTAATATATTCTGGTTTACATAGATTAAAACATGGACATCATCAAGAGGTTCTTATTCTGCTTACCAAAGTTCCCATTTCTTGTTCTACCTTGAATGCCATTACCAAATGTTCTCTTCAGTTACTCTTCAATAAATTCCTGAACTAATTAAAAGAAGTTAATCTTTGAGGCCCTGCAAAAAGGGATAGGGATAAAACATCATTCTTTGTATCTAAAGAATATTACTGTATACCTTATACAAAGATCCAATAAGTATTAATCTCTTCCATTGGTAGAAAATCAGCACCCTATTTACTACTAGATAGGAGTGGACATTTCTGATCCAGCATTCACAACACTCTGTAGTCTGGTTCAACGTGCCCATACATTTCACAATTACCTGGCATACTCATTGTCTCTAAATGTCTTTTAAACCAAAAAACTCCTTAAAATATCCATAGTGTATTCCAGATGCAGTCCAAATGCAGGGTAAGTACATTTAGTTCAACCTCTTCAAAGATTTTATATTTGAGTGGAAGAGTTTTCCCATCTTTTTCTACCTGGCCCTCTGCAGTCCTGGTGTAGGCTTCCTACCATCTTCTCAGGCTGTCTCCCTTCACCTGCACATTGATCAGTCACATCTTTTGTGAAGTCTGTCAAGAATCTACCTTTTCTCAGCCTCAGGGGAACTCTCCTGTCTGAGAATTCAGTGCATATACTAATGCATACTCATCAGTTGATGTAGTTTTTAAATAGACTTGGAATATTTTTTGAGTCATTGCATGATTAGCTCATTTTTTCCAATTTAAATGCAGTTCCCTCAAGGACAAAAACTTCCTTCTTTTCTATCCCACAAATCAAGGAGTGTGTATTACATTTAAGGAATAAGGTAGTGAAGTTTTGTTTTAAATGAATAAGAATTGCAAAATGGCATAAAAAATAATGCAAGAGTTTCCTTGTCATTAGTGCTGCTCACAAGTATGTCTGATTTTCCTTCTTCTCTGAATATGAGCAATTACACTTGCAAGCCTCCTGGAAGGTAAGTGTGACTCACTTTTGTCAATGAAAATATGAGCAGAAATGACATAGGCACCCTCTAGGAAGTTTTACAAGTGTATAATCTGTCCTTCTGGTCTTTTACCCATGGTATCTATCTACAGTTAGATTTGGGGTTCCAAGAACCATGTCCTTGAATGAGGCAGAAACAAACCTGCTCAAACTGAACTGAGATGGACATGAAACAGAAATGAAAATTAGACCTGATTCTTGAAAGACATTAAGATTTGAGTTTTCTTTTAATAGACTATTTTTAGAACAAACTTGTAGAAAAATTAAGAAGATAGTACAGAGTTTCCTTGTACCACCCTCCACTCCATTTTCACTTTTATTAACATCTAATAATAGTGTGGTACACTTGTTACAATTAATACACTAATTCTGATTCACCACTATCAACTAAAGTCTAATTTATTCATATCTCACTGGTTTTCACTTACTATCTCTCTTCTCTTCCATGATCCCATATAGGATAGCATGTTACCCATGGGTGTCGTGTCTCCTTTAGGCTCTCCAAAACTGTGACAGTCTCTTGGTTGGTTTTGATTACTTTAGTAATTTTAGGTAACACTCATCAGATATATTATACAATGCCCCTTTCTGAGTTTATCTGATATTTTTCTCATGATTAGGCTGGAAATATGTGTTTTGAGGAGGTAGACCAGAGAGATAAAGGTCTGTTTTCATCATATCATCTAAAAGGTACAGATTATTAACATGACAGCACTACTGATATTGACTTTGATCATCTTGGTCAGGTAGAATATTTCAAACTTCACTTTACAGTGACTCTATACTTAGTTACTTTTATATTCTGTTCATTTGAAGGAAATCACCATATACATCCCTCACTTAAAAAGTGGGAAGTTATGCTGCCTCCGTTTAGAGTGGGGTATACTAAGTTATTTGGAGTTTTCTGCAGAGGAGATTTATGTCTCTTTCTTTTTATTATTTTATTCAAAAATTTATTAACATAAGCATGAACTCATAGATATTTATTATATAGTTTGGGCTATAATCCAATACTACTTTTTTATTCTATTACTTTAATTTTCTTAACTTGATGAATTGGTGGTCTTCCTATGTTTCTTTGATATGATTTGATTTTTTGGGAGGTTTTGTGAAAATTTATTTATGGAATTATAAAATGTTCCAGAATGATCTTGTATATTTACTGCCCCAGAACTAAGACCAGCTATTTCTCTAAGAATCACCTGTTCCCTGTACTGGGGAATGCTTTTGAACCCAGTTGTCCACTTTCAGGTACAATCCTAACCTCATTATTTCCCATCTTGCCCGCAAACCACTTTCCCAAAGCTACAGAGAAGTTGGGTTTTGATCAAATCCCTGAGGTTCGAGAATTGGCAAACTTGAATTCCTCCAAGTAACAAAAGCCTCACAAAGAGCGATGATGGTAATATGCCCAGTCTTCTGTTAAGCCTGTACCTTAACCCAGGATGCCCCTCAGCTGCCAAGGTTTGCCATATGCCAGTCCTTATAAGCTCCCCAATTGCATTTTCAGTCTGTTTTTTCTTATAGAAGAATATCTTAGAGGAGTACGGACTGTGACCTTGGAGAGTCCAAAGTTTAAGGAGGAAGAACTTCAAAAGGCTGGCTCCTCAGTTGGTGTTAAACAGGACTTTTGTTTGAGCACTACATTCAGGAATGATTGTTCTGCCTGTATGAACTGTTCTGAATAGTGTACACTCAGGGAAATGTCTGACCTGCTTGTCAAACGGTGGAGCAGAATTATGTTTCTAAGCAGCAGCAAATCCCTTGGCAAAAGAGATTGCTTTAAAACCTCAGGAAGTTGTTAGTACTGAGTAATTAATAATAAGAAAATGCTTGCACATTAAGAGAATATACTAAAACTAACATCACCTCACACAGAACAGGTAGGAGTAGCATGAGTACACACACAGCACCTACAACTTTTTTCTCAAGGCATCCTCTCCTAGTTAGCTTGCACATTTAGGAGGATTTTTAAATTATGAGAGGCATTTAAATACTGTACTAAGTGTTCATAAAAATTCACATTTAGGAAGCTTCAGTGAATACAAACTGCTGCTAAAATGGCCTCCTTGGATATTTTTTGTTTGTTTAATTTTCAAGTTATGTTTGCACAACAACACCACATGTTGGCATCCTCTGGTTAAGGAAACTACCCAGGATTCTAACCTATGAGATGAGTATATAGTCCCGATAGCCAAGCACCACAAGCATTCTAGTCCTATAAACTAGAGCACCAGCATGTACCTGTCAAAACATTGCACTCTATCGCAAGGGAGAGAGAATAAGTCAAATTCAATTTTGAAAATGTAATGTGTCCATTTAAAAACCACTGTTCACAGCATGGTTAGGGAACCAATTTTCAGAGGAGCAGGTCAGAAGCGGTAAACAAATTCCCACAATAAGCAGCTGCTGATGTACACTGTCTGAAATGAAAGATATATATTCATGACCAGAGTGGGCTCAAAAAAATTAATTCAGAGAAGTTTTTTTTTTTTTTTTTAACCTTCCCTGGAGTAGGCGATTCTTAAATAAATGATCAATAGCTGACTTGAGCTAAATGGAAGGACTTGTCCAGGATCAGGCAAGTAATTACTTACAGTGATGAGCTGAGGAAGTAAGGCAGCCAGGGACATGGTAGCATTAATCATGACTTTAAACCATCTCTCCCTTTCCAGTTGAATCATCTGCAAAAAAAAAAACACTGAACAACTTGGTCCACTAGAAAATTCATAGATCAGGGTGTGTATTTCAGACAACTCCATTTTCAGAACAACCCCCCAGAGTGAGGAGAAAGAATTATTAATGGGAAGCAGTATCGTTTTGCACCTTTTAAGAGACACTGGAATTACTGGTTAGCTGAGAGAGGCTGAGTGAGTCGGGACTGGGGAGGTGAATGAGACATGAGCAATTTGGGCCTGTAAATATCTGTTTAGTTCCCTGCGGGGGATTGAGGATAGAACATTTGCTTCATTTGGTCCTCAGAACAAATACCCACAGCTGGTGCTGAAACTTTCAGCCTCTCCAAGCTGGGCCAAGATGAAAAGGCTAATGTGGAATAAGTCTGGCACTTGCGCCTTGGAAGTGCCTTCATTTTTTCCTAAGGGTGATCCACCAACAAGCCTGTGGAAGAAAATGATAGCACAGTGTGGCAAAATAGAAGGAACTCTGGCTGTACAGATAGAGTAACCCCTCAAATTCCCCTTCTATGAATCCAGGAACTCTTGTTCCAGTAGATAAGCATAGCCATAGTTCATGCAGCAAACAATCTATTGGTCATTAGGGAGACTATGCCAAAAAAATTTATAACCATAGAAATGATATGGTAGATCATATATTGTATGGAATAATTTTCTAAACAAAAAAGTGAAATAAAGTTAGAAACAGAAGAGTATGTATAGTTTATTTCCATTTGTAGAAAAGAACACATACCTCCAAATACTTTACATGTTATTACATATACATAGACATTTTTGGGAAAATAGCCAAGAAACTATCATTTTAAGAAGTAGGGATTGGAGTCACAGGGAGAGGGATTAACATTTTCCCTTCAGTTTGTTTTTTTTTTAACTGAAAACATATTTTGATTACAAAATTAAAGTCCAGTTAATTAAAAGCTCCCCTTTTATTGAGAGAAATTTGGATCTAAGTGTTGGCAGCTTTAGCTCTCATTTTGTCACCAATGACCAATAAGCAATTACTAAAATGACCACCAGAGGGTTTAGAGTGGACTACAGCAGTTGCATGACCTTGAATAAGTGCCTTCCATTTATGTTAAATAAATGAACAGTTCAGACTAGACTTGGGATGTTCAAAGGAAAGGGCACCTCTCCTGTCCTGGCTGAGGGTGTGGAAGGCTAGAGGAGAAGCAGAGAGATTCCAGATGCTGTGAGTATATCTTTATATCCCGAGTGGATTCATCCTTATTAAGTGTGCATATATGAAGCTTCCACGTAAATTTTAAGGAAAGGCTTCTAAGACTAAAATATATTGAAAAAATTGTAATTTCATGGATCTCAATATATATGTAAAACATTTGTTATCATAATATTGAGTGCTTGTAACATGTTAAGCATTGGACTAATGACTTTATCTGCAGCCTTTATATTAACTCTTACAATAACCGATGCAGTAGCTACTATTATCATCTATTATGGCTTGTGTCTCGATGTCCCCCCGACCCAAAGCCTCATGTGGTCATAGCTAGGGCTTTTCAGAGGTGGCTGGATCTAGGGTATGTGATGCTGGGATTATATGTGTGATGCTGGCAGTAAGGGCGTGTGATTACTACATTAGTCCACCGGTTGATTTGGCATAGTTCTGGGTGTGGAGAATGGAAAGGCCAACCCTAGGTGTAAGTGCTACCTGTGCTAAGGGAGTATAGCCTGAATGGACTAGAAGGAAAAGTAAAAGGGCTGCTGTAGTCACTTGCTACTTGTTGCTTCACTACCTTGCTGCTTTGCTATCTTGCTGCCTTGTTGCCTTCAGCCACCATGAACTCTTTCTCCTCTGTGATGCCCCTTTGCCATGACACTGTGCCTTGGAGCTAGACAATTATGAACAGAAACTTCTACAGACTGTGAGTTACAATCAACCTTTCCTTGATTAACTTTGAGTGCTGGGGTATTTTGTCTCAGCAATGAGAAAAGTAACTACAACATCATCCTCATGTTAAAGTTAAGGAAAGTAATAACTTTTCTTGCTTTGGCCTATATCCTGCAGTAAGAGAATGTTGAAGCAAAGATGGAGAACAAATCCAAAACCATTCCAGTCCATGTACTTAATTATATAAGATGCCTGACAGGCACCAGAACAGGAGAAAGTATGTTCCCAGCTTACCTATCCCACTGGATAAGCATGGTAAGGTACATGCTTGGCCCATGATGCTGAGAGGGTCTAGGAATGAGCAGTATTACTTGGAAGCTTGAGAGAAAATACCACATCATGGGCTTTACCCTAGAATGACTAAGTCAATATCTCTTGGAGGAAGGTCCTGCCATTTACGTTTTAGTAAGACCTTTAGAGGATTCATAGTTTTCTTCAGGTCTGAGAAGTGATCTGAAACTAGTGCCCTGTGCTCTGCTCAAGTAGAGTGGATCTCATTCTTCCTGAACATTAGAATTGTCTGGAAAGTTTTTTAAGACTTTTGATGCTCAAACCCTAATACTGCCCAAGTAAATCACAGATGAAGCCTGGAAGTGTATATTTTTAGTATCTGCCTAGATTAGTACAATGCACAGCCAAAGTTGAGAATCATTTTTCTAGACATAGCACTCGAGTGAGTCTGTGTTTTGTTGCAAACTGAAATCACCAGTGAGGATTAAAAATGACTGATGCCTGAACCTCAGAGGTTTTATTTTAGCTTTTCTGGAGAGTGTTCTGAACTTTGGAAATTTTTAACCCCTCTCCCAAAACTTGAACACATGATCAGTTAAGAACTACTCTAAGAGGTATTGGAGGGAAGGCCCAGAACAAACCTGGTTTCTGATCCTACCTGGTTTTGTCCTCCTATATAGAAGTAGCTGGTGCCTGAGGCTAATAGCAAAGTTGTTCCAATGGATTTCCCACTAGGTCCTGGGCACTCTGAGCAAACTCCTAGGAACCTGAAGACATTTATTTGTCAACCTGACCACAATGTAAAAGTTTCACTGCATGTAATTGCTTCCTCCAAACCCTTAGACCAGTAAAGATGAAGATACTGCAGTTTGTGAGTCTGACACTTATTTAGTTGTAAACTCAGAAATCTGAGTCATGGATCCCAGTGAGCAGATAAAATTGCTGCCTGTTGAGAAGGAGAAGCTCAAAGGAAATAAACTCAGACCCAAAGTACTCCAGAGAAAAGTAGGCCTTTCGGGGATGAACAATGCATCATACCTTTTAATGAACAGGATGTATTCACTTGGGTCTCATGTTAATTTAGAGCTCATGCTAATCCCAGTTGAGGAGTCAAAATTTGCATTTATATAGAGGCTGAATACTCTATCCAAAGACATCTAGTCTGAAAATTTATTTTAGTGAGGTTAAAATGACATCTTAGGGCAGGGGTGGTGAACAAAACACAAGGTTTTAAATCAGATCCAAATTTAAGTCTGGCTTATATATTTTACTAGTTAGGTAAGTTGTTCCATTTCTTCAAGCCATTATTTCTTTTTGTATAAAATAGGAATAATATCTCTTTCACTGGTTAATTAATAAAAACCAAATAAAAGGATGTATACAAGGCACTTATCCCAGTGATTCAAAGGTTATAGGCACCAAATTGATGTGAGTCTCCGTCCCTCATGTTACTTTTTTCAAACAAATAGAAGACAAGATGGATTTGTTACCATTAATTGAAATCCTCTCTGATACCGTAATGTGCAGCTATAGGATATTACCCAGACCAGTCAAAGCCAACTTTCCCTTCTTAGGAACCTTGTGAATTCTCCAAGTTCTGCATTAACCAAAGGGACTGCCAGAATTTACATTAAGGAAAACTAACATCAGAAACTACAGAGCAGTGAGAGACTGACAGCCAGCCAAGCAGAAGGAACTAAGAAATTGAAAATTTTAGAATGGGATAGAACTTCGTCCGTTTACCCATAACTCGATCATCCCAGACATCCATAAAAATATGTCCTCTAATGTTTCTATCTCAATCCCAGGCTCCCAGCACTCCCTGTCTTATCCACTTCATCTCCCTTCTGTCCTGCTATGCCAGCATAATCTTTCCCCCAAGAAATCTGTTTTAGAAGTAACCCAAAGGTCAAATATAGTATTAGTCACATTTGGTAATATTTTCCCCTCCTTAGGGTCACAAACCTCAGTTCTGCCCTAACTGACCCCTGCCAATTTCCAGCCCTTATTTGAATAAGATGTAAAAATAGATTCTGGTAATGAGGTTCAGGTAATTGAGCAAAGATAATGTTTAATCAAAGATAATGTTTCTCCTTGGATCAAAACTCAAACCATGAAATGAAAGCACATGCAAAGCAGAATAAAGGGGACTGGTTACTAGCAGAGGGGGTGTATGCTACGGAGGTGAGGACCAAACAAACCAGTCCTATCAAGAAGACTTCCACTGATCCAGAGTCAAGAATTCACACCAACCGCTCTATTGTTCAGCTCTTCAGGGGGCAACTATAGCAGCCTGCCTCACCTAGCACTGTGGCCATGTCCTCTGCTCTGAAGGACCTCCTCCAGGACCGCTTCATGCCACCCATTTATGGACTTCTGATATCTCCTCTGTCTTTATCTCATGTCCTTCCATGGCTGCCTGTTGTATGCTTTGTTCTCTTGGAAATAAGATAGCTGAAGGTATAAACCTACCATGTTGTCCTCACCAATGATTTTAAGGACAGCATTTTTAGAATTACTCCAAATCCATTCTCCACTCACTGCTCCTCTGGGAAGCTCTAAACTTTGATATCCAATGCTTGTTGGGCAAAGCTACCTTGATTTCCCACTGAAATCTAAATCTAACATATCTAAAACTTAGTATATCCCCCCAGATGTTTTCTATTTTTTATAATTTCTCTCATTGAAAGATGCATCCAATAATAAATACCTAAGTCAAAAATCATCTATGATCTTTCATTCTCCCATACCTAATTATCAACACAGCTTAATAGTTTAATTTTTGTTTTCATTCATCAGATGGGTCTAGAATCTGTTTATTTACTGTTCAGCAGGCTTGATGCATATAAGAAATTAATATCAGTAAAATGTAGTTTTCATTCACTTGCTTAGTAAGTATGTATTGAAGCTTTATCCATTGATAGATATTTCTCTAGGACCTTGGATAAAGAGAAAAACAAACCAGAGACTTTTCCCTTGAGAAGTCATCCACTAATATAGGAGTAAGGAAAAAACTGACTCATATGTCAGTGACTAAGTCCAGAACTGACTATGATGGCTAACATAAAACCTCTTAATCTTGAACATTTTGAGAAGGTCTCATAAGGAAAGGAAGGTCTCATAAGGAGAATTTGAGTAGGAGGTAAAGGTTACAATAAAGGATAAGAAGATACTACTGCCCTTATTACCATCATTACCGGTTAATTGGTTTATTAAAGAACTTTCTGTATACAAGGCTTTGTGTTCATAGCTCTAAGATATTTTCTTATTCAACTCTTATAAAAACCCAGTGTGATAGAGACAATAAAATCATTTGTGTTTTGCTCATTAAGAAACTGAAGTTCACAGAAGTTGACTATTGCCCAAAGTCGTACATTTAGTAAAGAGCTGGGGCTCAGGCCCCGGTCCATTCCTTGAATCTCTAGGCCTCATAGAGAATGATGTGTCTAACAGAACAGAAGATAAATTTTACAGGAATGCCACACGTGAGGCTCAAATTACATTCTCCAGTATGAAGGTCCTTGGGCAGATGCGGCTTCTAGCACTTTGTACCTAGTCCAAATTGAAGATTGTACTGTGAATGCAAAATACAGTTCACATTTTGAAGACTTTGTATAAACAGAAGAGTGCAGAATATCTCAATCATAATTGTCATATTGCTTGCACACAGAAATGGCAATATTTAGATATACTAGCTAGGCAAAATATATTTTTAAAATTCATGTTATCTGTTTCTTTTTAGTTTTTCTGTGTGGCTACTAGAAAATGTCAGATTACATGTGAGATGCACAGCTGTGGCTTGCGTTGGACGGAAATGGGTTAGAGACGTTGAAAGGTGGTGAGATGACTATCAGTGAACTGCAGGAGAAGATAGCTCAGAAGTATTAAGACCTGAATTGCAGGCTCAGAAAGATGAGTCACTTTTGAATGAGAGCAAGGGCAGCATCTCCCAGTGGAGGGAACAGCTGAGGAGGAACCTTTAATGGAATTCTTCATTAGGGGCCTTTGGTAATTCTACTGCAAAGAGAAGTACGTTGTCAGTTTACAATTACTATGCCAGTTGGAGAACTACTCTTTTGTGAAAATAGTAGGGAAGGCAGGTCCTCAGAAATCCCAGATTGTAATTTGCTCATCCTCGAAAATTTCAAGTGTATTTTCTCTGACTTAAGGTGGCACTCTAATAAATTAAAGATACTTTCTCTCAGATGAAAGATTGCACTTCTGTCTATAAATTGGAGCCCGAAGTACTGGCTTGAAAGTTATTATGCATTTCCTTTTTAAAAATACTCATGCCAAGTTTTCTGCAGTGGAGACGCCGTGGTTGTGGGTGAATAAAAAGTTGAGGTGACACTTTATGGGAAAGTGCGTGGTCTTTGGAGTCAGATAGATCTGAGTTCCAACCCTGGCTCTTCCACTTACTGGCTGGTCTCTTAGCTACTCTGAATCTAAACCATCTCATCTGTAAAATGGACCCACCTACTAACCTATTCACAGAGAGGTTGTAAAAGCTAAGTGAGTGAGGGGAGGTAATGCATCTAGCATGGTGTCTTGAATGTGGAGGAAGGTCAGAGAATGATAGACACACCTACTTACACCCACCTTTTCACGCCTAATGTGAGAACTGCACCCTTGATTTTTAGACATACTGACTATTAATGCTAAATGGGCAAGAGCAGGCAGCTATCTGTACAGCTTCCTAAGGTGCCAGAGAGCTGCCTAAATCTGCTCTGCTCCAGGCTGTCTAAAGCAGTCTTTGAAATGTTCCATTAATGACAAATGAACTGAGAATACACCATTTTTATAGTAAGCAGAGATATTTAAATGAGATGGAGATGTAGTCTCCCAAACCAAGAAGGATTTTAAGAGACCTTTCATATGTTGATTGAATCTTAAGCCTGGACTTGCAGAGCTGAGCAACACAGTCAGAAATACGGAGAATCTGGTCATTCAATCAAACGTGATGATTCCTTTTACTTTAGCCCTTTACACAAATACAAATAACCCAGCCAGTTCTGAATTAATTACACCTATCCCTAGAAGTGTAGACTGGATATTTTATGATATGGATTTTTAATATTTGCAGCAGGTCTTTGAATTCTGTTTGAACCCTGAGCATGAGGACAATTTTATCCATACTTGACACCCCAACAATGGCTCTAGTGCCGACCAAATATTTAAGTAGATGAACCAATGAATGAATGATCTGGTGAGAAAACCAACACATTTGTACATGCTTTGATGGGGAATGAATCCACTATTGTACAAGAGAGATGTGTTGGACTGGACAGAATTGCTCAAACCTAGTTATAACTGAAGAGTCAGAGGGATGATTTTTAAATTATAGATACCCCTTTCCCTGATTCTAACTTTGTATTTCTAAGCTGTGGAGAAAAAAATCTTCTACACAGGCATTTTGTAAAATCAAACAGGCTTGGGACTCCCTGTCTCAGGGGAATATGAACAGCTACCAGGCAAAATTCATTGAGGGCCCAATCAGAATCCTGAAAATCTTCCCTTCTGGGAGAAGACAGCTTAATGGACATGTCAACAAAGAAAGTAGATTCCAAATGTTTTGAAGTGGTGATAAATAATTAATTCTTTCCAAAGGAAAATGGATAGGTGTTCTTTAAATACACTAAAGAACATACATTTTAATACAAAAAGTCATCACAGGCTTTTCGGTGAGCATTTAAAGCAAAGGCGATCATAAATGACATCTGTTGCATCATGAGCAGGACAGACTTTTCTCTGGTAACCTCTGTTGCCACATTAATAAAAGAAAAGTGAGATTTATGTAGGTTGTTTTGAAGTCAGACTGGCAACTGACATGATTCTTTTCCAAATATGCTCAGCCAGGCAGGAAGGAAACATACCAGTATGGAAGCATATTCAGAAAGTCAGGGACTTTGGCTATCACGTTTCTACTGTGTAATGTAGCAGGGCAATTTATGGAAGGCTAAGGATGCCTGTGTGGTTGTAGTATTTCACAAAGCAAGGGCAAGGTGGGCAGTGAGATTTTACATGAACATCTCAAGCTCAGAGGCCAGAGTGGAGTAAATGCTCTAACATATCATTGAAAGTATATTCCAGCAGCCTTTCCTCACTTCAGGATTCTAGTGTTAGTGTGCTTATCAGAAGATCGGTCAATACGAACGAATTCAAATATAGGAGGGAAGAGATTCGTATCCATTAAATAAATGCTTACTCAGCTGTTGTGGCTTGGCATAGAGTTGCAGGTGAATCAAGTAATCCTCTCTGCTTCCATTTCTCAAGGTCATTTGCAAAATGACAGCTTAGTTATGGCTAGAGAGAGTTGTTTGGTTAACAATGATATCTCTCAGGATAGCCAATCTAAATAGAATCAGAAGGTATCAAGCAGTATAGACAGAAAGGCAAAGGTGATCAGCAGTAGTCATTTGACTTAAATTTAGTTGGACTTCATAGATTTTTAATTTCTGCTCTTCCCGTGACTGGCAGTCTGAGCTTGGACAAGTTAACTTTCTAATCCTGTTGTCCATCTGTAAAAGGAAATGAAAATAGTATCTAGGGTTATCATGGGGATTAAATAATTACCTTAAACCTCCTATCTGAGTGACCCCTGCTTCTTAGCTCAGCTTTATGATCAGGTGATATTCTCCATGTGTTGGAAGTATGACTGAACTGCAAGGTCTATTTTCAAAGGTAAATAAATCACACTTGCTCTAAACTTTCAGTTACTCTTTAAGCCAGTGTAATAAAGTGTTTCAGTCTCACTCATTCTCTAAAGGCTGAAGTGAAGAGGAACCTTCAGCTTCACTGAGACCAGCTGAAAACTTCTGACTTGAAGTTCAGTCACTCATTCTCCAAGGCAAGTGCCATGAAGCCAGTCATCTGTGGCACCATAAATCAATATCTAATTTGCGTCAAATATGTCAACAAGTTAAGAAAAAGACAGTCAGGCTGCTACTTTTGGCACTTATAGTCTCTCTGGCAGCTAATTTACAAGCTAAATTGAATCATCAGCACCCAATTAAACTTCTCCTGCATCACAGCACAAAATGCTCGTTTTTATTTTCTTGATGAAGGAGGGAAAATGGAGAAGGAAGGGAAAGCTATTATGGTCTCATCTATGTGTTTCCATGAATTAGAGTTATGTTTCACTCTCGAATTCATCTAGTTTCCCAAGTCTAGAGAAGTAAGGAAATGTTATAATTATATTTCCTGGTTGCCTACATATTTATCTCCTTTGCTACACTCTCAGTTACTCATTAAACTCCCACTGACTCAATCAAGGTTAAAAAATTTATCTGCAGAGATCTCAATATCCGCTGCAGTCCCCAAGCACCCATGAGCTAGCAGCTTTTGTATGGAATATCATCCAGGGAAGGGGTTCATCATTTCTAGATGGGACCTGCCAATGAAATATTAAAGTCTTTTTGGTCTCTGCAACCACCATTAAAAAGCAACTGTTCTGTCTAACTGGAACAAAAGGGAAGTTATTCCTCTTGGCAGGAAGGTTGCCAAGATGGAAACCGTACTGCCCAGTAGCAGCTTCCTAAGCCTTCTGTTGATACCCCTCGTTGCCTGTCTTGACCCTGCCTGATACACCTATGTGCTATCCAGGCATAAAGACTAGTTAGCGTTCCTTAGTTTTTACCAAAGCCAATCTCATTTCTGCCTGGGTTCTGACTCATGCCCACATTTCCTGTGTACCACCTCAATCTTGCCCATTAGGCTGGATGTTTGGATAAAATCTGCTCCACATATAAATAAAGCCCTTTCTTTAAAACTTACAGCTCAAGACTGTCCTTTCAGTTTTCCCAGTTCAGTCTCCCCTAGGCTTAGTTTTGGTTTGGGCTCCACCAAATCAGATCCTGAGTCAAATATTTGGGTCGAATACCTTGTCAGGAATCACTTCAAGGGAAGGAAGGAAATCAAATGAAACAGAGTGTGTTAACAAAGAGGTTACTGTCCTGGGCGACCTGTACTCAGTCCTACTAGGCACTGTCCAAGAAATGGTCTGGCAACAATTTAGAGTCTTGTGGATGAGTGAGGAAGGTGAGGACTTTATTAACAAACTTCCATCTCTCTCCACTGGATGAGGGTCTCTTCTACAACATCCCCCAACTAAACTTCCCTCAGAGCATCCAGCTTTCCCCAAAGTCAAATTATCCTCCACACTCAAAGAAAGCAATCAGGCAGGAATCTCAGCAGGTCATGGGATATCTGTGCTGCTCTCCCAATAGGCTGGCAGGATATAACCAGCCATGAACAGTCTGCAATAAAGACACTTCCTACCTCAGAAGGAGCACAACCTTATTAGTCATTTGCTGAATGGTTCAGTATCAATCAGAGACACTGTTGTAGTAGTGGTTCTCCCCTTCCAAGAACACCTCATACAAGAACAACACAGATGAATACACTGAAGCAAATACAGTAAGTCTTCAATTTACCTACAAATGAGTTCCATTCTGGGAGAATGTTCACAAGTTGGATTTGTTTATTAAGTTCAACCAAGTGAGTCATACACTTTTGACACAAATATACAATGTAAAGCATAGAAAAACCAAATACACACAAAAATATAGCACGTTCCTACTATTGTGTACACTGCCACACTGTACAGTAAGCACATAGCAGCATAGCTGTGACAGTGTCCATCAGACACATGAGCTACTTCCATGATTTGTTACATTTACAAATGTTCCTAATGTAAAGTCCATTCATATCTGGTATCTGTGAAAGTTTGAAACTTGAATGTTCGTAATCCAAGGATATATACTGTATGTGAGCCATCAAGCCTCAGCTGGCAGAAAAAGTTCAGAGATTTTGCTTGCTACAAAGGGCTTGAAGAGTATATGACCCTCAACCAGCCATGGTGGCGTATTCCTGTAATCTTAACAAGGGGTGAGGGGGTATATATGACATTTTCAAAGAAGACTCCATTGAACACAACAAGTTTCAGTGATCTCTCTATGCCTGGGTCAAAATACTCTTCTGCAATGTGAATTTCAAGCCTATATTTCTCTTTGACCATCAAGAGGACAGAAAAAAATAACTGAAGAACTCCTAATAAATGCTCAGTAGTGCACAGATTTTTCTATAGATTTAATTTTCACAAGAACTTTGGGAAGTAGACGTTTGCAGGCTCATTTTACAGATGAAACTTCTGACATTTGAAGAAATAAACACATTTGCTGAAAGTTGCATAGCAAATCAAAGGACTGTATCTGCAGCCCTCCAAAGTCTCCTTCCTTTGACTTGTTCCGCTTAAAGCAGGAAGGGTCTGCTGGAGAGGTAGAACAGAGCCTGATATTGCTGGCATTTTAGGAACTCTGGGAAGAACACCTTCTCCCTGTCTTTGTCAGGCACCATCACTCCACAGATGCTAAACACCTCCATTCCTGGACTGCAGCTGATACCGAATATTCCACAGTCATCAGTTCATTCCTTTGGGGCAAGCAGACAAAGACCATGTAATTCTCTGGATAGCAGACAAAGACCATGTAATTCTCTGGATAGCACAGCAAATAAATCTACAGACCTTGAGCTAACCCAGGGGAAAGACCTTGTGAATCATCATTTTGTTTCCAGTAGCTAGTACAGAGCTTGGTGTGTTAAAGGCTCTTAGTATTCATCTGTTGCGTAAATGAATAAACCTCAGTATGAATAAATTTAGAAAATATATGAAGGGTATAAGGCTAAATATAAAAGCAGGAAAGAATAAACAATGCAGGCAAAGAGAATTTAGAATTGTTCCTATTTCCTATTAATCCTATTAACCTAGAAATCTGTGTAGAAATTTGTTGTCCATTTCCTTAATCAGTACAGCTAATACTTCCAGCTCCTTTTCCAAAAGTTTCTTCCTTATGTTTGCTTCTTGAGGCCTTACTTGACTTCTAGACATCCCTCTAGACACAATATTCAGAAGAAATTAATTTTATCTGTTTTGCATTTCATTTTATATTTATCTTCTAGATAATATTTAACCCAACACAGGAAGAGATGAGATATACAAATGGGATCTTAGAATTTGAGTTGTTGATCTTCACTGTAGAAAATGTTTGAAATGGTCAGAAAAAGTTCAGAGCTTTTGCTTGCTTCAAAGGGCTTAAAGAGTATACGACCCTCAGCTAGGCATGGTGGCATATTTCTGTAATCTTAAGAAGAGGTGAGAGGGTGTATATGACATTTTCAAAAAAGACTCCATTGAACACAACAAGTTTCAGTGATCTCTCTATGCCTGGGTCAAAATACTTTTCTGTAATACGAATTTCAAGGCTATATTTCTCTTTTCCACAGAGCATACTGTAAGCATAATAAAATACTCCCAGTTTCTACCTACCAGATTCATTAATTTCTTTCAGGATAAAACTGCTAAAAGGTGAACTCCAAACTGAGACATATGCATCAGATTATTTTATTTTATTCCAGTCAGAAAGCTTCTACAAGCTCTTCTTATTCTGTCATAGTGAGACAGGAGGTACAGCATGGCTAAAACTGGCTGGGAAAGGAGGCGTGAGAAGATCCTGGAGCACATGTGCAGAACAGTTCCCAAAACCTTGCAGGAAAACTCAAGCACCTTTTCAACAGAATGGCCTAGACCTGCAGCCCCAATAGTGGGTAATGCTAAAAGGACAGTTCACTTAGTCTTTGGCCACTGTATTCGCTCTTGCAGGGTGGCCCACCTTCAAGCTCTACGGCGTACTTTTCCTACTTTTACTTGACCTAACTCACTTTTGCAGAGCCTGTTTCCTTTCCTACCTTTTAGAAAACTTTGCTATCTTTTGGGCGTGCCTTGACCAATTCTTCCCTTAGGACAGGAAAAATCCAGAAACCACCTCCAGAGGGAGATTCTAGCATCCCAAAGCCGTGTAACAATAGCATTACAAATAGTAAAGTAAAATGATTTTAAAAATTAATAACTGAAACCAGCAAATGGCAAAGTAGGGACTTAAGACTGGCCACAGAGATTCTAACTTGTTTTTACTATTCCCAATTATTAGGTTATGGGAGTGTTAAAAGATCACTATTTTTTAAATAAGATAAAATCGTAAGTCACATATAAATATAAAAGAGCACATATCAAGTATTTCGTTTTCAGTCCAGTTAATGATGAAGGAATTAGTACAATGTCATAACTGGTTCAAAGGGGAACCTCGAGAACAGATATACAAAGGGCCAGGGCTATAGCTCAGTGGCATAAGTGCCTGCCTGGCAAGCACAAGGTCCTGAGCTACATTCCTGGTATGAGGAAAAACACAAAAAACAAAAACCAGATATACACATATAATAAACATTCAGGAATATTGAAGTATATCTTCTAATTTATGCAACACTAGCATCTTCTAATGCAGAAAATCAAATACAGGTTTGCTGGACAAAACTATTTACATTTCTATGACCAAGAACCATCTGCATCACCACCAGATATCTATAGGATTATTTCTACTGCTATAGAACAGAGAATAATAAATATTTACAAAAGTCAAAGACAGTGAA